GCTAAACTCGCACTGTGACCTGAGGTGACGGAGAGACCGCAACAGGTTTCACTGAGCCAGTCCGTGGATCAGAACATCGGTCGTACCGTCCACAGCCACAACGTTTTGAAACAATTCGGCCGTCTAGTACTGTGTAAGGTAGTTTTGCTGACATATAATTATGTGCTTCAATTAGGACAATAACAACGATTCCAAAATGCTCATGATTCATTTACTTTCTCTCCATCAGTGTGACATGGCTAGGGCGTGCCTCTAGTATCGGAAGCAATGTTCATTACCGGCCGATAATGGAGATATTGACGGCCTATTGATTCTTATTATTTTCTGCATCCTTGGCTGACCTTTTAGCTGGGCCATATTGGGTCTGTGGCGATCGTTGGCCGTTATGCTGCGACGTGAATACGCCCGAGCTCGTTCAATGGCACGGCTCGATGTGGGGGAGGGGGCTGTGTGTGTGTGTGGGGGGGGGGAGGGGACCGGGCGCGCGAGGCAGCGAACACTGAACAGGTGTGTCACGGACCGTATCGAAACATCGCTGGCGACGGTGGCACTGGCGCAGGGAACACGGGACCCTCTGTGAGACTATCAGCTGCAGAACTCGACGGCTGAGACAATAGGAGACTGGCGCCTTAGGTGTGCTTCTTGACGAATGCTGAGATGGCTAGAATTGGTTAGAATACCGGGGTCCACGTCAAAACAGCTAGTGACTATTGAGCTAGTGACTTTTGAGCTGGTAAAAAAGAGCTAGTGCTTCAAAACAGCTAGTGACAAAACAGCTAGCGCCAAAATAGCTAGTAATGCAAAATAGCTTGTGCACTAAATCAGCTAGCGACTAAACAGCTAGTGTCAATATAGCTGGTAGAGCAAAATAGCTAGTGCTTTATTATAGCTAGTGACAAAATCGCTAGCGTCCACTAATAACCAATGAAGCAAAATAGCTGATTCGTAGAGCAGCTATTATAGATTCTTTCCCGACGACGAGTCCCGCGCAAAGAGAAGGAGCAGAAGAGCACCGTTGTTTAACAAAATTATTTGGAATGTTAGAAGAAGGACAGAGGACGGGATTCCTAGGACAAACAACAAATTAGAAGCGTGGCACCGGGGAATTCAAGCCATCCAAAAAGCATCTGATCCAATCCAATCCAAAAATCCAATCAAAAAATCTTCAAGCATCTGATCTTGTGAAATATTAAAGTGGCCAGGATGTTCAAAAACGAAAGAAAACATACAGAGACATGAATGCCAGATTAGTCACTACTGAGACGCTACAGGGAAGGCATTATTGGCAAAAAAGAATTCATTCGGGGAGTAGGTTTCAACATCACTTTGAATGTTTGAGATGGCATATCGCGGGAAATACATATTTACAGTCATAGATATCTTGCATTTTCGAAGCGAAGTGAATGGGAAGGGAACAAAGGTCCAACGAAATTGCTATTTTGATGATAGCTATTTCGTCACTAGCTGTTTTGAGGCACTAGCTCTTTTGCCTCACTAGCTACTTTGGCGCTAGCTGTTTTGTCACTAGCTGTTTTTAAGCACTAGCTATTTTGCTTCACTAGCTATTTTGACGCTAGCTGTTTTGTCACTAGCTGTTTTGAGGCACTAGCTGTTTTGTACTAGCTCAAAAGTCACTAGCTCAAATGTCACTAGCTATTCTGACGTGCACCCGAATACCGCAGGCAACGCGATTGAATGTGAGCAACGTTTCTGAATGATATGCTGTGATTCACATTTTCCTTTTCTTAATCGCATCAGGGGGGACGCTGAAAATCGTGTTGTTTTTGTGCAGCGCGCAGAACTTGCAAAAGTAAGTTTCATCTAAATCATTTGCCATTGAATGAGTTATCTCTGAATTGTTAGTGCCCGCGATGTTTTTTTTTTTTTAATTTTATTTCACAGCCTGCTGCGAATGTTTGACTTTGTTTTACGAACCTTTGTTGTTCTGACGTAGATTGTCCAGTGGGCCGTATTTCACAGCTGCAGTGCTGACATTGGCTGGCTAGTGGGTCCGTAGGACGGAGCTGGCCCGCTGCCACCCTTTCAGCACGAGTTCCACGACCGCTGCCGCTGCGACGACCGCCGCGTCCCGCCTCGCTTGGTTACAGAGAGCACTGCGACCCAGATGTACCCCGATTGTGACATTGGAGCTTTTATTGTGTCGTTTTTCAGAAGATATTTGAAATAAAAATGCACGAGTTTTTAGGCATGTCACAGACGTTTATGTTCATTCAACGCCTTTGAAGTTCATTGAGTAATGTTTTCAGCGAATAATGATGGCCAAGGGTAGGTCACTTGACACTTCCTTAGGTATGTGCAAAAACTGGAGTTTGAGTGTTTCTGGATGTTGCATCATCCTCTGGGATAATTGTTCACAAATATCTTGTAATGTGCGAGTATGCTGGTGACGGACATGGAAGTTGTCTGCGGTGCGATTTCAGTCTCATGACCGGCCCGTATCGATCGCGGCACTCGACAGGTGTGCCCTGTCGTCTCTAACTAACAGCGGCTCTCCGACCAGTTTGCACTTTCACAAGGAAGCGGCGAAACTAGAAAATAGACATTAAATGGCTAGAAGGTGTGAATTTCACACCTTCTACTGTGAATAGGGCTGCGGAAGAACTGTGGGTTTCATTAACCCTCGCCCCGTTGGGGGGGGGCATTTTGGCCCCCCCTGTGGTTTTTCCTGAATAGCAAGAAAACGGCGGCGCGCAGCGCCGCCAAATTTTCAGTACCTTCCCGGGCATCAATTTGACACCTTCACACCAAATTTCAAGTCTTAGGTCACCTTAGGTCAGGAGTTATTGAGGTCAATCTGAGGTCATGTTCGAGCAAAAATGAGCAAAAAACATGCAATCTTGAAACGCTCACCAAATCTAGAGTTATCAAGCAATTTCAAAGTTCTTTATATGGTCTAGTAGACAAAAAGCGGTGCTACAAAACTGCTATCTCGGATTTTCAAAATTTTCGGTTTTTGACCAAAAAAAAATTCATAAAATTAATTTTTTTAGAAAAACTTTGAAAAAATCCAAATTTTTTCCGAATTTAAAAAAAAAACGGAATATATGTGATAGTCCCAGCGCTCTTCTATATACATACCAAATTTTCAGATCGATATCTCGTTTTTTGGCCAAGTTATAGCGAAAAAACTGTTCAAAAATGATGACGTCAATTTTTTTAACTCAATTTTTAGCGATTCTAGACCACGTACGGCAAAACAAAGACCACCATTGAACTCCCTGTGACGAGCTGCATCGATTCAATACCCATTTTATGCAAAAATATTAACTTTGAAATTTGACCTAATTTGACCTGACCTTGACCTGACCTTGACCTGACCTTGACCAAAACGTGATCTAAGCTGGCCCCAAAGGCTGCCTGACCCATATAATCGCATTTGTCATGTAAAATGGACCATAAAACATGTATCACACGACACTTTCATATTGTGACCCCCCCGTGACCTGACCTCTGTGACCTGACCTGGTATCAGTGACCTCAAATAGCAAAATATGTGTTTGAAGAACATTTCCCCATCGATGATTTTCAATGAAATGCATTTTACTCGATTTTACAACGCATTTCTTGAAGTGCCTGTAAACGGTGAAAATTGGACCTTTGACCTGACCTGTGACGTCATCGGTTTGACCTAGGTCAATAAAATTGGGTCACAAGGTAGTTCCCCGTTGGGGCTATCCAACGCCGTTTACCGCTTGTCGCTATGTTGCGTGGTTCTCGAGATCTTAGGGGGGGGGGGCCAAAATGCCCCCCCCCCAACCGGGCGCGTTGCTCGGCAGAGCCCAACGGGGCGCGGGTTAAAGATCACCAACTGCCATTTCGCCAACCAAGTGCCATTTCGATGCCCATTTATGTTTTGACATTATCTCGTTTTGAAGCCACCATATCCACTTTTCGAACCGAAATGAAGATGTGCTCAGGTAGATCACGCGCCAAACATGTTATATTGATGCGAGAATATGATTGATTTGACTCTTATGACTCTTATGATTTTCTGTTCACGTAGCCTCTCTTGTTTTTCGCGGTTCGTGCTATACATACAAGTCACAGCCTGCCTGCATGATATATTTCCCTACCGTTTCTCATTAGCGGCATGGCTGCGCTAATGCTCACAATTATGTTTCGTTATTAATCAAACGTCGGCTTGCGGACAGCTCGCCTGCTCCACACGCAGGCAAAACACGGAACAGTGAATACGAGCTTCATATGGCCCCCATGGGCGGGGCAGACGGGGAAAGACGAACCCCGGCGTTGTTGTTAGTGATGGGGAAACAAATGTATCGGGCGATCCTGTTGTTTGCTACATTGTCACCTCTGTCGGGATGAGGAACGTATTGTCGTTGAACGCCATGACCGCGGTCGGGTCACGTCCGCGGCTCGCTGCCGCCGTGACACTGTGACACAGCGGCGTCGCGTCGGCGTCGGCGGCCCGTCGACGGGCCCCGCCCCCGCCCCCGCCCCCGCCCCCGCCCCCGCCCGACAGCGCGCCCCGGGCCCGGGCGGCAGTGCAGTGTTGGTTGGCGCCCTGCAGTGGCCGGCCGTGGGTCTCAGTAGCAGCCGGCTGCAGTTGCCACAGTGCCGAACCGCTGAGCCGCTGAGTTAGTGTCACGTGCTGTCGTCAAAAGTAACCGAGCGGACTCAGTGGCCGGTGTGTCGTGAAAACGAGGGGCGCATTTGTCAGTGTCGGGTCGCTGCGCTTCTCTCTCCGCTCACGCCTGTAGCCCACTCGCTCTCGCTCTCTCTCTCTCTCTCTCTCTCTCTCTCTCTCTCTCTCTCTCTCTCTCTCTCTCTCTCTCTCTCTCTCTCTCTCTCTCTCTCTCCTCCTCTCCCCGGCGACGGCCGTGACGAAGTGACGATGTGGCCGACTCACCTGGCGTGATAGCACGTGCCCGAGGTCCGCACGAGGCCGTCACGAGCTTTACGCCCCAGCCGGCGGCCCGGCTCGGGGCGGAACCTTTCCGTCGGAACAGGAAGGGGAGGCGTGACACGCACCTGTGCACCGGCCCGTGCAAAACTGCCGCCGTGCGCGCGGTGACCCTGGCCGGCCCCGTCAGATCTGCGCTGAGAGCTCCCGATCTGTGCTGAGAGGTCCCGTCGGTCGGTCGGGTCTTTGAAGAGGACTGGACATTACGCATTAGACGGCCACTGACTGATAGCGGTGCGGTTTCTGCGATAGTGACCTAGGACGGGAGGCGCCCGCACTGCGAGCCCCGACTCTCTGACGTGAGATTAGCACACCGCTCGTGACTTTTGAGAGTCGCCCATTGTTTTGAGATTTGGTGTGTGGGCGCATTAGTTCATGATTGTGCGTTGAGTGGAGAGGATCAAGTGCCAGTGAGAGACGGAGAAGGAGAGACATGTGATCGATCATGGTGTCAGAGCGTGCCGGGAGCGAGAGACCGAGCCGGAAATGAAGAGGAAGTGGAGAAGAACGAAAAACAGCCCGTCCCTTATACATTTAGCTGGAAAAGGTACGAATGAATGTCAGAAGCTACGCATTGTATGTTCTCTGTCTCATCGAAGCACGTATCGCGGTTTTGCTTTGTGATAATCACCTCAAGGCCAGAGCTCATATAAGCAAATATAAGCAAATCCGGAAGCTCCGTTGTGCGGGTCATATACTAGTAAATGTGAGCCATATGGTGGACAAATTTGTATTTTATTTGGTCGCACAGATGTGTTATAGGCGTCCAATATTAACCCGCGCCCCGCTGGGCTATTCAGCCATACGCGCCCTGCTGGGGGGGGGGGGGGGGGGCAGATTCTGCCCCCCCCCCTGTCTAACTTCCGAACCGATGGTCGTAGAAAGACGGGGAAAACGGCAATTGAAAGCTCTCAACAAGGCGGATCTTAAGAGCCCAAATTTTTTTGCTTAAGTAGGTCAGAGGTCAGGTCAAGGTCAGGTCAAGGGCACAAAATGCAAGTTTCTACAGTATCGGCCTTGCACCGTAGTTGCCGAAGAATGGACTGAGACTGATTGCCCAAAAAGTGTTCTTAGACTACCAAGACAATATTCGTTGCATACAATGTCATTCAAAGGCCAAGGTCAAGGTCAGGTCAGGTCACCAAAAACAAAATATAGAAAAGGGCATGTGCGACACATGTTTTATGGGTGATTTTACTCATAGAATGCAATAGGCACACTCAATAAGTGATATGGACCACCTCTGGATGAATTTCAGGTCGAGGTCAGGTCAAGGTCAGGTCAAGTGAGGTCAAATTTTGAAGTTGGTTGTTAAGGCCTAAAAAGGTGTCCATCTGATGCAGTTTTTCACGGCGAATCGAATGGTGCTATTTTTGTTTCAGTACGAGGTCTAGAACTTCCAAAAAAATCATTTTAAAATTTTTTGTGTGTCATGACGTCATAAAATTTTGAATAACTCCCACATTTTTGAACCGATTCTTCTAAAAATTGGTATTTAGGTGCTCATAGACCAGTTCTCTGACATATATTCCGGTTTTTTCGATACACTCAAAATTTTGGATTTTATAATTATTTTCCCAAAAGTCAGTTTTTTGAAAAAAAATTGGGCCAAAATCCAAAATTTTCAAAAAACCGAGATAGCCATTTGATAGACAACGTAGAATCACGTATAACCTTTTTTGTTACGTCTTGATTCCTTTAAAAATGAAGATGTTAGCGGCGTTTGAAATTTTGCCGTTTTTGAGGCGAAAATTGCGAACATGACGTCACTAAAACGTCAATTTCTCAAAAAATTTCCGACGGATTTCGCTCAAATTTTCAGGGAACGTGTCAAATTGATGTATGATAAGGTACTGAAAGTTTAACGTCGCTGGCGTAACGCGTTTAGAAGTTATTGGCGAAAAACGGGAGGGGGGTAGATTCTGCCCCCCCCCCGCAGCGGGGCGCGGGTTAATTTTCACGCATGAACATCGCATCGATGCGCTGCCATATTACATGACATTACTCGAACTTCATCGAGTTATTGGCAAACAACGTCCATGAAAACGAATTTTAATTTGGTCGTTCAGATCTTTTCCAACAATACAGACTCAACGGCTCAACGCTCAACGTAGATAAGTTTCGTCCCATCTGTTGAGTCTCGCAACATATTGAAACACAGCTCCACTGTGTTGTGCTCTGTAACAAAAAGGTCGATTATTATGCATTGGGCCCGTCCTTTCGCCTTTCAACTGCTCTCCATCAGCCGCTACATCTGTCATCGATGGCCGGTTACCGCGAACGAGCTAACCAACTATAAAATATGAAATCACGAGCAGCCAAGTATGTCTGGACGAGGAAATCAAATTAGGAGTTAGAAATGAAAAGTAAAACTGTTGTTTTGGAAAGCGAAAGGCATGTTAGACGTGATTGTTTATCCAAACAACTGCTGACGCCTGCATGGTCCGCGAGTTATTGGTGTCCATCCATTCTGGTCATGCATTTTAGTGGAGTCGAAATCGTATTCACTGCGGGCTATCTGAACTAATCGTATAGTAATGCGATCCGAGTGCACTTGGTCAGTGGTCAGCCACCACGCCGCCCCCACCACGCGGACCCAGGGGTATTGACCAACAGGTCTGTCTTCATGACCATCAGCCACCATCCACGTTATGTCACTCTTCCATCAGGCGCCGGGGGGCGGCGGCGGCTGACGCTCGCGGCAGCCGTCCATTCAGCTGGACGATTCTCACATCGTTAGCGGCTGGTGGGGCTCAGCGACGCAGCCACGCCCATTCATCGGCCTGGGTCGTTTGGGCGCGCGCTCCAGCGGCGCCGAGACAATTCTGTCTCACCCTGGAGGCAATTCTGCCTCACCAGGGAAACAACTCTGCCTCACCCCGGGAGACAACTCTATCTCTCTCTGGCCCGCCGGTTGGGGCCGGTCGATTATGAAAACGGATGTGTCAGAGCGCGAGCCCGACAGTTGGCCACTCGGAAAGGTCGCCGAGAAGCCTGCGGGCGGTGAGCCGGGGACCTGCGGGACGCTATCCGCCTGGGACGCAGGTGGCCGACGCCGAGTTTTTCGTTACCGACACTGTGTCGCCGTGTCCTAATGCTGGCGCAGCGTTACTCAGTTATGGGTGAAGGTCTTTGGTTCACTTACGTTTGATATGAGTACGTATCGGACTCGATATTGCGTCGTAACTTTATCCTTAAGCAATATTGGTCGATCTCTACGAAAACCTGGGTACTGCGTTATTGCAAGTTATTGCAACGAGGAAAGTTGTTTCATTAGTTGAGGTCTGATGAAGGCTGGGCGCCTCGCCTCACCGCTCGAGTATATATGTGCGGATAGAACATGTGGCATCGCTTGTATTGCTAACAAGTCCCATGACATTCCTGAAAATCGTGTAGGATGACAGTTAATTAGCCGTCATAGCTACAGAGTATTGTGCGCCACGCTATAGCATTACTTTTCTGTGTGGTGTTTTGAGCAGAACAAAATCCATTGACTTTTGACTGCCACAAAAAAACGTATTCACAATTGAAACGACTGATGAATATAAAGACGGGCCAAATTGACACAAATTTTTATTTATGTGACCTGACAATATTGTAAGTTACTACAGACATCGATGTTACAAACCAGTAGCGGCGGAACACCTTCAATTAAGGGGGGCCGGGGGGGGGGGGGCACTGCCGACTTTTGATCCCATTCTTTCCATGCAACGCCCATAGGGCTAATGTTAAAATGCCGAAATCAAAGGGGGGCACGGTGCCCCGGTGCCCTCCCCGTTCCTCCGCCTATGTTACAAACAACAGAAAGCATGATCAAGCACAATATTGAAATGAGCTCTATAAACGTGTGACCGTGTCTCAGAGGGTGAAGCTACATGCCCGCTCCTGGAATGTCCTACGGTACGCTATTGTCCAAAGGTAGTTGTGACATCCCAGCGGTGTCGGAGGGGATCACGCGGCTCCATTTCGCCAACGAGCGGCCGGAGTCTGCGGACAGCAATAACAACGGGACGTGCTGTGACTCTGTTCCAGATTCAGAGAAGACGCCAGAGCACCGGTCCCTGCATGGAACCCTGTTGCGACACTTCTCCAAGTCGGCCATTGACCTCACCAGGTCACGGGACAGGTCAAATGACAGGTGAGAACATCACAGGGATTTTACCAGACAAAGTCCCAGGAAAACTTGGGACTTTTGTTGTGTCACAAAATTTTGTTGATTAAGTTCAGTGGGAAAAAAAGTGTTCTTTTTACTGTATTCAGAAAAAAAAATTCGACACCAGTAAAATGTATATGAATCGGTAGCTTTCGGGGGCTGCTGACTCCTTCATCAGCCTGCCTTTTAAAATATCCCACTCTGAAAGGCAGGCTGATGAAGGAGACAGCATTCATCTAATTTTAAAAGGCAGGCTGATGAAGGACGCAGCAGCCCCCACAGCTACCGATTCATATACATTTTACTGGTGTCGAAAATTTTTTTCTGAATATTTATCATGTCCCAGTACAACAATTCCATATTTAAAAGTTGTTTTTACTGTTTCATTTATGCCATGCTCAAAAAAGCATTTGCCATTTGCTCAAAACCTGTGTAGCTATGTGGATGTTCGAGGGATTTATATTCCACAGGGTACGCCAAGTCTCATTAGGACAATTGCCATAAATTACAGTTGCTTTACTATACTGTAGTGCTGACGCTGTCCGGAATACAAATCACATCATCACATAATTTCGTGTCGGTGTGCGGTCGAGTTCATTGGTGGCTAAATGTAGTGGGCGGTCCCTGATGAGCATTAGAATATTTATGTATTCAGAATTGGACTTTGTCGGACATTTCCTGATTTTGCTGGCACACTTTGGAGAGCGTTGTTCATGGCAGTTAGACTGCCAGGCGAGAAATAAGTTTGTTGACTATTGCTGGCGTTATTGTGCCAGGAATGAACTTGACGACAGTCGTCTTTTGGTTGGTATTATCAAATGTGCTTACTTAGATACTTCGATTATTATGGTAAAGGTTCTTGCCTTTAGCAAGTTCCTCAAAAAATAAATAAATAACCATGTAAATAAATACATATGCAACGTGCTCGGCTCGTTAATTATTTAGAAATGATTAAACTTTGGCTTTTCGAAAAGCCGAAAAGCTAAGTTGTTTTGATAAATGAATAAATAAATAAGTAAATAAATACATAAATAAATGCATAAATAAATGAAAAATACAAAAATAAAGAAAAATTAATCATATACCTGTTGTTTACGCTTAATGTACGAATGTATGATCCTTTAGGTGTTTTTGCATTATGTGTAGACTTCTTAAACATCTAGGCTTCATTTCTTGTGTTTTATGTGAAGTGAAACTGTGAAATTCGCATCTTTCATCTTATTTCAAAAATGATAATCCTTATCTTGATGTTCGGCAGTCGCCGGCTCAGTTTAAAGTGGAAAGTATTGCATAGTTCTTTTGAAGTGAATCCTGTCTAAAGATGCCTCTTTTTGTTCTTGTGAATAGTGCCTTTGATGTTTAGAACAGCGTCATATAGGCCATAGGGGTGTCGACTGTCGAAAGTTGTACTTGTCACTCAGCTCCTGTTCTCCCAGCAGCGTCCCGATGTTTTTTACTTTCACTGGAGGAATTATAATTTATAATGCAGCTACTCCTTCGCTGGCTGAAGGGGATGCTACCACCTGACGGTTTTCTCCTGATTGCTCGCAACGCGTTAACGATAGAGAGGTGAAATGGAATAACTGTAAAAATACTATGTATATCTACCCACAGCCAGAGATACCTAACATAAATCTAGATTCATACTCTCTATGCTACGACAAAAGTGATTGGTGAAGTTCTGTTATTTCTGTAACTCCTTTTGAGTTATATTTATATGTCCACGACCGCAGTGCTTGCTGTATTTATTTGAGCAGCTTGTGCTGTTGCAAAGGCGGTTCAGGCCAGGGGCTGTAAACTGACAATCGTTTATCTCCATGCAACGTAGACTATAGCCCACGCCTCTTTTTGTACAGCTGAACACTGAGCAGGATGAATGATCTCCGCTGTGCTTACAGTTGCTGCCATCTATCACCGATCAACGACAAACCCATATAGCCTCGTTGCTGGTGCGCCCTAAAACACCAAATCATCACCATCGTCCAAATTCAAAAGATAATGTGCATTCACCCTATGGTGTTGGCATCAAGTTCTGTAAATACAATCTACTCTGAGCTTGTTTATCCCATTTTTGGGTTCGACTTTTTCTATCTGTTCAAATCTTTTCGTTATCGTGCCACAGCTCAGCCGCCCCAGTTGAGCAGACGGCCACATATGGTTATGCGCAATGCGGCGCAGCATGCTCGCAGGCGGGAACGCTAGAGACATCTAGTGTCAGGTTTTGAAGTCTGTGTTAGCGAGGGGCGGACGGAAAGTTAGGGATGGAGGGTGATCCCTGACTGTTCAGCCCGAAAACGAAATTAAGATTACTTATGCATGGGCAGGTGCCCCTCCTTTCACAAGTTTTGGCTTTGGGGAATCATTCGAGCCTGCCCTCAGCTTGCGATGACGGCAAGCATTACCTATCCTCACATCTGCTACGTAGTACGTTCTCAGTGCATTTGATTCAAATCACCTACTAAGATCGATAAAGAATGTTCGTAGGAGAACACTTTGTTGGATCGAATCACCGAGCGCATGGATAATATGGCATTTTATGGTCAAAACGATATTGCTCACCGGAGGCCTGCCCTGTGAAATATATCGGTGCTGCCACCTACAGTACCACGATGGAACTAGACTTACCGTACCTCGCCGCCGCACCACTGTATGTCTTCCTGAGCATAGCTCTACTCAGCTTATAAGCCTACAAAAGGCTTAGCCTAGCCTGCTTTATGTAGGCCGAACAGCTATACATACGTACCTGTATGCTAATTTTGGTGCTTTGTGAGATGCCTTCTTCTAAATAGCCACATTCGTCATCACGTAAGCCCATTCTCTGAGACTTTCGGCTTTCAGTTCGTGAAAAGCGCCATATCAATTTTCAGTTTCTTTGGCACACGGGGTCCGAGACCAAACCGGCATAAATCATCTATGATATAATTTGAACGTACAAACTAGTATGCCTGCACACACACACTACTGACTACACAGTGACTGCAAATAGGATCAGCCACATCGGACTTCTCTCTTGCCAAGAAAGTTGGGACCAGGCTGAGAAGAACGTCTTGTCAAAGCACCGCATATCCCTGATTTAAATCAAGTGTCTTCCGGCAAAAATGATTTAAACCAGCGCGTAAAACTGGCGGTAGCCGACAGCGTCTGACCTAATCACCCGACATCAGATTTTGACACTGACAGGTTGAGTGACAGACACAAAACTGCCGCAGGTAAACAGCCACACTCGCCACCACTTGGCTGGTTTTTCGGTCCGAGAACGAAGGCCAGTTCGGCATGTGCCGGGTCTGAAGCCACCTGTGAGCGCCAGCGGCCATTTCTGTGGAGCCACATGTTCGGCCGTCTGTGTTTAGAAAGGTCCGGAATCTTTTCAGTAGTCGATGCGGCTGCGGTATCGCGCCGGCTGAAAATCTGTGACCTGGTTAGAGTGTAAGCAGCCGCAAGCGACCATGGATGCGTCGGGTGGCAAAAACTGGAAACTACCATCTGTGTTTGACTCATTCTTCAGTGGTGCGACGGACAAAAGTGGTGACAAGTCGGACCAGCCAGAGGAGAGGTCGCCCGATCCGACACCCTTTCAACGAACCGACGAGCTCAGCGGGATTCAGACGTGTAAGCCAGATGATGGAACGGCGAATGAAGTGACTGGGGCTTCGTTACCTGGAAGAGGAATGGAGACCAACGCGGAGGAATTGGCGACAGCGACGGCAGAAGACGTGGATGTGTCGGAAATGAAGTTCTCGGGGATGCCTCCAGAGGCAAGTCATGTACCGCAGTCAGCTGAAGCGAACGAAAATGAAATTTCTGAGAAGGATGGCGCAAAGGAAATAGCCATCATGGGCAAAATAGAAGAAGCTGAGAGACGAAAGAGGAGCTCAGATATAAGCCTATCCGAAAGAAGAGCCCGATGTGTTTCCGCCCCATCAGGGTGGGTGTCATATGGCACGGTTCTATGCACTTTGTCGTGATTGTCCGTATTGCGTGTTTTCGAATGTAACCTTTGCATTGCGTTAGCCGCTAGCTACATGTATCTTCTGCTAGCTGTATGTTAGCTAGCTGAATTTTCTGTAAAACGTTAAAGTCTTTCAGTTGAAGTCTTCATTATTCCGTGGTCGTCTCTTGCTTCATCGCTGGAGGGTCAGCGCGGTCCTTGACACCTGTTGACCGTCTGTTTCAGCAGAGCCGGCACCGGTGAGGACGAGGCTCGAGCCGAGAGCTCCGACAGGAGCGAGGCGTCCGTGCACACCCACAGCCACCTGGCCGAGAAGGTGGCTCTCGCGCAGAAGACGCACGGCTTCCTCAATACACTGCGGGTGAGGCGAACGACGTGGTGGTTTAGTGCTGTTCGAGAACGGGTGATATGATTCCAGGATTGCTGTTATAATAACACTCGAGAAAAAAAGACGACTTGAATTTAACTTTAGGCAATGTAAACAAAACTTGTACCGGCCCTCGGCAATCTGTTATTAACGGCTTTTCACGCACCATTTAGTGCCTTTTGGTGGATTATTCGTAATCTGTTTTCTCAGACTCAGCGTTTTCTCAGCGGTTTTTAGTCATTGCGGTCAGTTTGTGTTGGGCTTATAGCAGTAAATGGTTAGTAACGTCACTCCGATCGCTCTCATAGTCTGAATCATGTTGTTTGCGACTGAAACGTATCCCACCGTTTCCGCTGACCCTCTGCCCCTCCCCGTTCCCCAGCACCGTTTTCAGAAGTCGCACAGCCGTGACCGTGAGCGTGAGCCGTCCTCTCCCCGTGACCCGGTGAACGGATCGTCGCGCACCGGCTCCGTGCCCGGTAAGGTCAAAGTCGGGGTCGGGGCTAAGCTGCGCCAGGTTCTGAAAATCGCTGTCTTTATGGCTCGTTTTATAACTAAATATAACTAGTAAATAAAAATGGAGTTTATAATACTGAAAATGTGGCGTGTTTCTGGACTTACCTTTGGATGCATTCATCTGAGGAGATAGGCTGTGTTGAGATAGGCTGTGTCGAGTAACTGTTTAAATGGTGTAAGTCAAAGCAAATATTAAAAAGTTCGCGAACATTTATGGACACGCATTGCTATGTTACAAAGTTTTGAATCACCATTACGCTTGCACAGTGTACAGTCAAGGCGGGGGAGATTGTTGTGCAATGACAACAGTTGATGCGACTTGAATTGCACCCAATTTGAAATTGAATTCCAACCTATTATTCATGCCACATGGTTCAAATCTTATAGGACTGGCAGTCGTGTTGGATGTTTCAGGTCACCCAATACACGTTGTGGTAAGATTACGGCTTATTTCAAAGTTCCCAAACAGCTATACCTCCATGTAACAACAAGCCATACCAAAAAGCCTTCCTGAAAGACATCCATTTATCAGGCTTTCTTCACCATATAGGTCATCACATCATCCATCCAAACTATCGGACTTGTTTCCACTGGGATAAGTCCCATTCCGGCACCATCTGGGTCCCTGGCATTTGCGGCCGACCGGAGGCGGAACGACGCGCGGCTCAGCGGATTTCAGGCTAGAAAGGTCGTTTGTACGACCCACGACAGAGCTAAACAAACGATCGCTTTGATCGGCCGGTCAGGTCAGCCGACGAGGGACGGGGTGTGTGGGTAACGGCAGAGGCGCTATCGCCTTTAGATGCGCCAGAGCGGAGGGCCCTCGACCCGCATCGGGTGAGGATAAATTGGCTGCTGGGGAGATCGCTGCGTAGTGCGTGACAAGTGACATATACGGGCATTGGATATCGAAACTTCAGCAATCCAACTAACATCGCAGTCTTTCGCATGATCAGTGACGATTCCACATTGCACAGGTGCAAGGTTACTGACCTGTATTGCCACGTGATATTTCTGCTTCTTTTTAAAGAATCAAATTGATATCACCTCCGAAATTACGGAAAAGTAAGGTAGATCCCATAAGTCGCCATACGTCTATTTTCTTGTTACATATGCTTGAGTTGTGCAACATTTTGCTATTTATCCAGAACTTTATCAACATCAACCATGTTTCTTTTCGGTAAGTGAATGCTAGTTCGTGTATTTTTATGTAAATCGTTTCTAACGTTAATTTTCCCAATCTAATATTTCTGGCGCATCATCGTGTTCAAATTGGCGGGTTCCAGCAGCAAATCGGATCTCACTTCGCCCGATAAATATGGCGACGCGGGCTGACCTTCTCCGTGGCCAGCCCACCATCGCTATGCGTCTATAATCAGCGCCCGGTGCACTTGTTTAGCGCGGCGCACACTTGGTTAGGTAACGAGCACCACCTGGGTGCGCCAGACGCCGGCGCCGCCGCCGCGCGTGCCCGCCGCGCCCCACTGTGTCTTTGTGCGCCGGGGCCCCGGTGGCGGTCAGGGGGTCATTCGGCGACTCGGAGTGACTGTGAACACCACCATGGCCGGCACACTGAAAGCCAGAGCCGAGAAGAGCAAGAAGAAATTGGTCAAAAAGTGGCGCAATTCGACAGGGAAAGATTCGGATTACGGTTAGCGTGCAGCTCGGTTGGGGTCCCTGAGCTGAAGATTGGTTTTCAAATGATGTTTGTGGGGAGATTTGTGAAGGAACGTTTGAAGGAGGAGAGTGTGGTGCTCATGTCACCCAAAGTGCGCTGGAAAGCGCTCAACAACATATGAGAAAGTGCACATTACGTCTCTCCCGTAGCAGTGGATGGTTCAATTCAAGCATCATTATTTTTTAGTAATGAGTATGTGTTTGACAAACAAATGTTAACAAAAGACATGATTACCAAGTAATGTATCGTCACTTTATTGGTGGTGTCTGCATAGCCATTTTCACCAGCGAAAATACCTTCTTCCAAGCGTCTCCCAGCAGGGTAACTTGCAACCACTGGTGACAGGTGCTCCCTTGTTGCAGATGTCTCTCAGAAGGACCACTCGGACCACGGAGGGGAGTCGTCGGACCCGAGCGGCTCCACCACGCCCAGCACAAAGTCGCCGCGCAAGGGTGAGTGGTGTAGCCGACCCGACCCCTAATGGTGTCACGGGGGTCTTGGTCCGTTCATTACGTGTCGGCAGTGTTTAACCCTCGCCCATGTAGGGGGGGGGGGTTGGTGCAACCCCCCCCTGAGGCTTTTCGGAAATAGTGCAAAAATTTTGGGTACCTTATGGGGCAAACCTTGCGCATCTTTTGATAAAAAAATTTGACCGGGTCATGTCAGGTCACGGAGTTATGACGTCACAAAGGGAACAGCCTCCGGCCGGATTTTCACAAACTGAGTGCCAACGCCCGAGGTTTCCTGCCGGTGGTACGGACATCGGTTGATGGATCGTGATGAAACTTCCCATGCATGTTGGGGCAAGTATTGGCTATCATATGGTATAAGAAACTTGACCGGGTCAGGTCAGGTCACGGAGCTATGACGTCACAAGAGGAACAGCGTCCGGTACTATTTTTGAAAAGCGCCCGAACCACTATTTTGCTAATTCTTGTCACCTCAATGGGAATATGCAGCAATATTAGCTTCTATAGGGAGCAAATGGACCTCCCAAATCCAAAAATACAATCAGATTTCAAAAATTTAAATTTTGATTTTTCGAATTTCTGCCGCCGACTGTGACCTTGCCGACTTCCGGCGCTCCCAACGCGCCATTTTTAGAGCTAGGGAAACGAAATACATACCAAACGATAGAGAATTGATCAAGGAACACGATAGTGAAGGTTTCAAGTCGATATCTCCCACCGTCTTGCCGCAATCGCCGCGGAAAGTTGAAAAAGTCTATTTTTCCGAAAATTTGACCTTTGACCGGTCAAAAGTAGGTCAAATGTTGACCTAGGACCAAAAAATATACCACCAATCGCGAGATCTCGGCGAGAGCAATCCGTTGGTCTTTTCCGCTAAGCTCTACGACGCTCCGTTTTCAAACGCCAAGGGGGGGGGGTCTCACCAACCCCCCCCCCTGCATGGGCGAAGGTGGCAGATCGCCGTTTACGGGCGAGGGTTAAATTGTGTTTATATCACTGGATTGCTTTTTTCCTGTAATGGATGCAATGTCCAATGGCGCCGTGAAATCACTGCATTGTAAGAAATGTGTGCATCCCCAATATTTTAGCTGGCCGTTGACCACCCAACCGAGTCCCACTGGAAAAAGTCGGCAACTACATACTAACAACATGATCATTATTTTTAGTGAATCACCCAACTTTTGAAACGATTAGAAACCTGCAATCAAGATGACTGCTAACATGCTGGTTTTAACTCTTACCGGCTTCTGCTTTTTACACTTGATTTGACTTGGCGTCAAAAGTCCTTGGTCCCTTAGACGAAGGCCTTATTGTTGATTCAAAACGTCTTTTTTTTTAGCTTCTCTATATATTTACGGAGTGATGGAGGCGTGGGGGGGGGGGGGGGTAGAACAAGGTCCACACCCCCGGGTCCCAAAATCCACTTGCCTTACCGAGGTGGAGGAACATTAAAATGCAGAGTTGCCATTCTTATTCTGATTAAGCGGCATAACAATGAAAGATAACTATTGTTTCGGTTTGGAGGTCACAGTTGCGCAAGTGCGTCCCTGTGAGCACTTGTGTAACACAGCTGTGCGTCACTCTGCGCTCCCCATTCTCAATCGTGGCGTAATTATGAAGTTTACAACTTGCCGATGTCTGAAGGATATTAAAGGGACCATCCCACCTTAACCCGCGCACCGACGGGGGGGGGGCGGATATCCGCCCCCCCCTGAGGTTTTTCGCGGATAGCGGGAAAACCGCGGCGCGTAGCGCCGCGAAATTTAGTATGACTATTCACTCATCAATTTTACACATGGTGTGCAAGTTTGAACCTCCTAACTTTAAAGGTCAGGTCACCAGGTCACTTTGAATGACCCAACCTCAAGTCACTTTTTTGCAACTTTGTCACCGTGCCAGAGCTACAGTAGATGTCGGAGGCCTTTGAAAGTCGCAGGATGTTATTAGGTCATTAGTAGCTACAATTTGTATATCTCGGAATTTTGATGTCGGTGACCTAAGGTCAGGTCAATTTCGCGACCTCCCCATTATAAGTCAATGGGGGAAAAATCAACTCCCTGTTTTTACCACTAAAACGGGTCGGAATGGCCCCATATACCATACATGACTTCACATACGATCAACCTTCACTACCTTGAGGTCTGTTTTGCTGTTGGGCAGCTGTAAGGTCATGTGACGTCATCAAAGGTCACCAAAGGTTTTTTGCCAATAACTCCTTACAGGAACAAGATACAGCCGCGCGGATGGTCTCATTGTGTTCAGCTCGTCAAGACGCATCGAATGATATACATGATGACCTCGAGGTCACGTGACCTGAGGTCAACCTTTGACCTTGACCTTTCGAGGTCAACATATATATCATTCGATGCGGATTGACGAGAGGATCACGATGATGCCCTTAGTTTGTTCCTATCTTGACTACTTCGAAAGTTATTCGAGAAAAAACCCTCTCCATATCTAGCGCCGCCATTTTGACTTTTTCGACCCCTGTGACGTCATCTTTGACCTGACCTGAAAATGACCTTTGTAAAAATTGTAGACCTTGTCCGTGCGTATCCGATGCCGTTTACCGCTTGTCGCTATCTTGCTTCGTTCTCGAGATCTCAGGGGGGGGCGGTCATCCGCCCCCCCCCCCGTCGGTACTAAGTTGGCGCAGACCCCCGTCGGTGCGCGGGTTAACATTAGTTTTGAGTTGAGATAGCCAAGTTTGCGGCCAGGCTCAGAAACCACCATTTATCCTGGTCGCAACCCCCGCAGCTTTATGGTGTTCAAGAAATTTCTTCCCTTTACTTGCAGGGTGGGACCAGCTTAGTCCCTATCTCTTAACCATTAGCGGTTTTTTGATGACGTCAGCAGTCATTTCAACGCCCGCCATTCCTTGAACCCGAGTTTTGCTGACCTTGAGCTCCCTTTTTTATCAACGTGAAATCCGTCGTCGGCGCTGAGAAAGCCTATTGCTTTTCATTTTAATTTGAATATTAGAAGATACCCACCACTGGAACTTGGACTGATATTATACCAAGGCCGAAGATGATCAAGCTGCCTGCTATATCTGGAGCTTGGTGTTCAACTTCAACATGGAATACAAAACAAAATATCAAAGCAAACTGGATATGGTACTGCAAGTTAAAGTCCAAAGAAATTTGAAGAGCTGACAATTGACATTAATTCTTTTCCTTCAAGGTTTCCATATGGAGATCACAGTCACACCATGAAGAAATATTTTTGATGTTAACAGTTGAAAGGGGATTTATCTTCCAGTTTTGACGAAAGACGCTGCTGACTGTCTTTGGAAAAGGATGTCGGCATGAGGTGCAATTGTGCTTGTGAAGTGGTTATAACTGGTCTTTTCACAGTATTAAATTAAATGTGCCATTGCAGCCAAGTGTGTTATCATGTAAGGTAAAATCAAAACTACAATGTTGGTTTTACGAGCATTGAGAAGGCTGGTAGGTAACACCTGCCTGTGCTCGTAAATCATGCTGCCAGAGTATTCTAAATTAATTTTATCATACACTATTGTTGTCCAGAATGGTTGCACTATTGTTTGGTATCATATTATTCCATGTAAATATGGTAGTGTAAAGTCCGACCAACATGTTACCAGATTTGAAGCTGTTACGTTACCTAAGTACCTGTTTTTTACTGGCGTGATGAATGTCACCTGGATTTTGTTTTGAGGTGCAGACCTAGTAACTCTGACTACATGGGTTTGAAGCTATTATCTATTCTGTTTTTACTGGCCTGGTGAATGGCGACTGATGTTGTCCGTGGATGGCACTGAAACAAATTTTGAGTGTTTTGTACAGTGTTTTAATACAATGCTGAGGGCTGAAAGTTGTCTTGTTTAGAGTGGTGAAAGTTCAGGATATGCCAGCCACCATGGTGGGTCAGAGTTAAATGTGTTGCAGTCAGTTCGGCTTCGGCAAGCACACGGATGGGCATACGCATCAAGACCTGCTCTGCCATACTTTCAGCCAATTTTACCTAGGTAAGTCTTTTCTTTTTTCTGCCAAAAGCTATGACATTGTGAATTTCAGCACTGTGGCCTGTGTGTAGCTTTCAGGAAAGCAATTCTAAATAAAGCTCTGATAAAGTGCATAATCAGCAATGCAGCCCTTTATTACATGTTCTACAACATCTTACTTGTTCCTTGCATGGAGAGAAAAATGCAATGTTATGAATTCGTTTATTCACATAATTTGACAAGCATGCAGTTACCTGCTACTATCACTGCACAAAACAGAGCAGAAAACATCAGTTGATTAAACACAAGACATAACAGAACCAGAAGTTTACAACATAGGGCTGCCGAACCTGCTTCCTCCCACCACAGTTGATGCCATTTCCTAGCCTGGCTTGATGTGAGCACTGAATAGCTGCTTTGTCTAATTACAGCTCACTACCATTCAACTTAAACTACTCTCTTTAAAGTAAGAGTGAGAGCGTTCAGTGTTCATAGCAGCTCGACAGACGACAGACAACAAACATCTTGACAAACCAACCAGTATTTGATTTGGCTAATGATTTATGTGCTTGTTGTATCATGGCCAAACTACTTTAACAGCAATAATCCCTGTTTCATCTTGATCTTGCTTTTATTTCCATTTGAACTCAGATCTTGAAACAATCATCTGAAGTGATATCAGATACTGGCTTCTGTTTCTCTTGAAAGCAAGTTAAAACAACAATGATAAACTAAGGCAGGAGATGTGAGTTGTGGCAGTAGATTTTTGATTCAACATATGTCAACCTTATATTGCTTGAGACCTCTGTGACAGACAAACAAATATTTATAGTTTTTTGATAGTTTGGATTCTTGGCTTGATTTAGCAGATCAGCTGTGAACCCTGACTTTGAAATCACATAAATGTCATGGTACCCGAACGAATCCTCGCATGACATTTCTTCGTAGCACAATTTTTCGTCCGCATTTCTTCGTCTACAAATCTTCGTCGGTGCATTTATTTGTCCATCAATGCTTACTCTTGCATATATTTGCGTTGAAGAAGAAATGCGAGCCGATTTTCATATACCCTGGTGCGAGACAAAGTAATGCGATAGGTACGAATAAATGCCCTGACGAAGATTTGCAGACGAAGAATTGCGATACGAAGAAATGCCATAAGAATTGTCCTGGAATCCTTTATTGGCCATCATATATTGACCTTGATAAGATAAACGCATCATTCGCGCAATATTTGTCGCACTTTGATACCAAACTATTGCTTCCAAATGCCGACGTAAAGAAAACCTTTATGTGACGTCATAGAAACAGCGGATTTCCCAAAAAGTAAACAAAAATAAAAGTCTTATATCTCGAAAACGGGTGAATATTTTCCGGTAAAATTTGGTAGATGTTCATTTTCGCTCTTTGTGATTCACGCTACATCACTTTTATGCCAATTCATTAACCCGCGCCCTGCTGGGGGGGGGGGGGTGTTTGAACACCCCCCCCCTTATGGTTTTTCGCGAATATCTCAAAAACGGCGGCGCGGAGCGCCGCCGTTTTTGGCATACCTTATCACACATCAATTCTACACATGTTGTGAAAATTTCAGACCAAGGTCATGCAAGGTCAGGTCACCAGGTCACTTGAAGTGAACTCACCTCATAAAAACTTTCAATGTCTGTCATAGCTACACCGAGTGACCGATCGCTTTGAAACTTTCAGCGATTGCTAAGAGCAATAGCATGTAGAAAATGTATATCTCAGAATTTTGATATCGATGACCTAAGGTCAGGTCAATTTTGCGACCTCCCCATTATAAGTCAATGGGAGAAAATTGAAATGCGCCTCTTTTGGATGAAAGACATTATAAACACTCCCAAACACCGAATTACAAGTGGTTTAGACACAATGAACTTGAAAATGGTGTCCGTGACCCTTGTTTATGCCCTGAGGTCATCTTAGGTCACGAATGGTATCTATCAGTTTTTCGCAAATAACTTTTGATAGAGGCATGCTAGAGCGATGAAAACGCCTTAGATGTGTTCAGCTCGACGATACGGATCGACTGATATGCAACATGACCCTTTCCGGTCAGGTCATGACCTTGACCTGAGGTCAAATTTTCAAGTTGACCTTTCAAGGTCAAGTTATAGTTCATTCGATGCGTCTTGACGAGAGGAACACGATGCCGGTAAAAGTAAGCTCGTACAAGGCTTGGGTCAAAAGTTATTGCAGAAAAACTGTTTTCGAAAAAATCGGCTATTTTTGCAGTTTTTGCCCCCTGCAGGCAAAACCGTTGACGTTAGGTCAAATCTGAGATAATTACTCAGAAAGGGCGTTAATAGGGCTATCGAATGCGCTTTTCCGCGGCGCTGTAGCTCTATTGGTTCCCGAGTTATGCGTTGGCTTCTTGGAAATTTTCGACATTCGACCTGGAAATCGGCGAAATTTTGCCTTCAATGACCTCTGGTGACCTGACCTTTGACCTGACCAAAAAATTGACCGAAGTGATTTCGTCATTATTTTTTACGCTCTTTCGAACGCCGCCTTCCGCGTATCGCTACGTGGCCCAGGAGCCGAGTTACAAGGGGGGGTGTTCAAACACCCCCCCCCCCCCAGCAGGGCGTGGAAATCCAGGACCCCCAGCAGGGCGCGGGTTAACTTTTTTGAAGGTGGGAGGGTCCCTTTAAGACCAAATGAACGCAGCAACTGTTCACGGGACTTATGCCTTTTTAAATGTGTACCAACAACTGAATGTATTTCCGCTCTCACAGGGTCCGAAGGAAGGCTGAATGGAGAAGCAGGACAGGTGAGGAATACATAATCACGTTACTCTGCACGCGCATGCTCTAAGACCTGGCTTGCTGGCAAATGGTTCAAAAATATGATCATGCACGATTTCCAGTGGGAGATGAAAAAAAAAACTTAAGTAACCAACGCTCCATGATAGTTGCAACAACTCAAGTCACAACCATATGCGTGCATGGATCCGGAATGAATCGATCCGGGATCTGACCCCATGGATCTCGATCTAGGATCCGCTCAGATCATAGCTCCGACTCCTCCATTTTGTCGAGAGATCCACTGAGATCACAGATTCGACCCCTACATTTTGTGGAGAGATCCACAGAAATCATAGATCCGCCTCTCGGATCCATGCACATGTCTGATCACAACCCACAGTTGCCTTCTACTCGTGTTCGAACTTGCAGTTTCAGACACTCGATTTTAGCAAATCGCCTCTTTCACCATCCCATAGATACTACACTAGTTACACTTACATGTTGCCTTCACTGTTGGTATCATATCATATCATATCTTTTATGGGATCTTTTTTTTAGTTTTTCCCCCGCCATATGCGCCCGGCTCAGCTGTTGTCACCGGCAGCAAAGGGTGGCAGAGGCGTTCACCAGATTTGTGATGAGCTGACAATACCATGCCCAAACCGTTAGTTAAACGACACTTGGTAACATCTACCACGCTACCAACAAAGTCGCTCCCAGTTTTACCCTTTTTCCCCCAAAATAAGAAGTGTCAGATTTGCATTTGTGCAATATAATGAAGCGCTTGGATGCTTACTCCTACCATCTGCGCTCACAAACCCCACTCAGTGAGTGCCGACCTGGCCGTGCCTCTGCCAACGCCGCGGTGCACAAGTGTGCAGAACGGTTCACCGAAACTAAACGATCGGCGACAGGAACCCCACCGGCAGCGACCACAGTTGGTAGACAGAGGAGGAGAGTGTGGTGTAAATTATCGGCTCATCTTGCAGTGTTTTTATTTTACCTTACAAACATGCTAGTGGCTGAAAAGCTTGGTGGCTTGGGTGTTTTTGTTTCCGTTTTGTCATTGCGTTATGACAGTTCCCGGTGAACAAGGCTCATTGCTACGGTTCACTGTCATTGCTATGCGTGTCGGTCTTTTAATTGATCTCACACAGAGGATTGGATAGGTAGAAGAACACATCTCGAATTAAATTTGCGACACGGGTAGAAGAACACATCTTGAATTTAAAGACAAAACTGTTTCCTTCCGATCTAAGCTCGGAAATGCCATGGATGATGCACTTTCTGTTGGAAAAGAAGCGCTGAAGTCGTTGTCCCAGTTTGCCAAGACGTCTCTCAAAGTAAGTATTATGTGCACTGTGCAATCACTACTCGAAAATAGAGGCTTCGACCTAATTGCATGCAGCCTGTTCGATTATTGCAGCCAAAGCGATGGCTTTTAACATTTGTTATCCAGCTATATCTGCTTTTCGTTTTCCATGAATTGCGGTATAACAGTAATTCTATGAGAACGCGTCCTAGGGGCGAGTGGTCTTTTCTATGCCGGTGGCGTTCATGAAAAAGTCATATTTTGAGCCAGCAGACAAAATGTGAGTTTCTACTTAAGCGTGGAAGTTATCTTTGGATATCGATGGATAACTTATCTCTTTATGACTTATGAGTATGAATATCGACAAGGACAGAACGTATAATACATCTGTTTGGATTATATTTTTGGCTGAATCGAAAGGAGATGCTGTCGTAACTAGGTACCCCTACAGCTCTGCCCCATCCCCCTAATTGAATTCATCTCCGCGAGTCCGCTTTCTCTTCATCCGTGTGAGTCTTGCAATTTTGTTCGTTTCAGCTCCAAATGGTAAATATTTCAGTCATTCGTTTCGCAGTCTTATCTCACCGTCACCTTCGACCTAAATCATCTTGATCTAAATCTTGATATGAGTCATAACTTCAACCAACTGAAACGTGCTTCGGCTTCCGCGTTAAATTAAAAACCGCAAGTTAAAAATATTTTTCTCGGAAATGAAAGCATGATGCAACATGTTTTACTTCAATTTAAAACACTTCTCATGTATTCTTCTCCGAATTGGTGCATACAATGTTTCAACAATGGTATCCACAATACTTTTCCGGAAATTATTTCACTTTGAGGGCATGTATCTTTCGGAGCGGCATGTGTCGTCATTTATCTTTGTTTCCAGGAGATCACGAGAAAAGTTTGTTATTGACGAGGCCGCCCGGGCTGAGGCCTGCTGAACGTTATATTTGCATTCGATTTGTTCATCCAGGCGAGCGGTATAGCTCGCAGCTTCTGACTTACCGAAAAGTTTAGCCACCAAGAGGGGTGCTGTTTCTGGCCATGTTCCAGCCGTCGATCCTATAGCAGCTAGAGCCGACTGTTCTAGCTGAATTATATTGCAGGAGAGGGTTTGATGTGATTATGCTCGCAGGTCAGGCAGTATTTCCTGACCTGATGTCTCCATCACTGGCTGATGGCTCACTACATTATCTCGTACGGGAGTTGCGGACCCCATCAGCGACCCGGCATTCCTCACTCGATATTCCACACGTGCCATTCGACTCTGCAGTAGTTTACTGGCACTTCATGCTTGGCGTCCCGTATTGCCGATCAACCTGACCCAGGTTCGCCGTGAATGGAATGTTCACAAACGAGTTACCCGAACAACCCGAAAAACACAGGTACTTTGAGCCTCGCTCGACTATCCGAGTGCTGCGTTCTGTTGGCATACGGCGAGTAGCGACGGTCGACCTGAACCGAACTGTAGGCATGTACCCGACGAGTCGGCCCATTAGCCTGATGAGTGTGGCACGTGTGTTCGCAGTGGTGCCATCTACCGTCGATCCTGGCGATGGTCGGGCCGGCCGAGGGGTCGCTGTGGGTACTGGGTGTCTGTGCCGTGAATCGGCTGCGCTCCATGGCTTTGCTCCTCGTCGCACGATAGGTCAATGGTCGTGACACCTGTGCCTCCCATGCAGCGCGTCTTTATAGTGTTGCTCAATGCATATTCACTGCTGGCCTTTTGGGTATTGATCGACCCGAGCGTGATCGATAAGTCGATGTGACGCGGTCGATACTTTGACCTTGACAATGACGCGCCTTTGCAGTCATTGCTTTTGAGCAACCGGCGTTCCGTTGCGTTCGTTTGATGCAACTGGCCGGCTCAGTCCAGGTGCCAATTAAGTGTTGTTCTCTTGCTTGCTCGTTGACTACACCGAGAGGACAGTTTTGGAACTACAGCTGTGGTGTTCTTTCCGCCAGGACTTCCTACCTATTGCTATAGGTGACGTTCAGTTTGGCACGTCACGGCCGGCCATTAGCAAACAGCGGGGTGTCGGTTGTAGTGCGTAGTGGGAGGGCAGGCACGCCACTCCGTGCCTCTACCCAGCGCCACTCCGGGCGCCACCCAAGGCCACGTCCGCTGCTGAGCCCTCGCACAATGGGCACGGGTGGCCCGGACCGTCTCGGAGGTCACGCTGTATAGAAGAGGTCATGCCATGCCATAGAGGAGGTATGACGCTATATATGGAACTGTGGTTCCGTGTCACATGGATGGCCGGGACCCGTCAATACGGTTTTATTACCTTAGGGTAAACAAACGGTTGCGTCTACCTCACTTACATAATTATTGCATTGATAAGACGATAAGACTGAGACGCATCCGTTTTCTGGATCAATTGGTGAATGGGACTGTGGAGCTGGCGAATGTCTCATACCAGACTGTCACAGAGTCGCTCAGCTCTGAGCCAGCTGTCATATCTACTATTATAAATCTTAAAAAGTCCGCCGCCGTCGGGGTTACGCAGCCGGCGTTACTCCCAAAAACGCCTATTGCGGCGCCGTCGATTGACGCAGGAGGGTGAAATTTTCACGACTCGTGGGTCACGTAATTCAACAGGTCGTATTAAATTTTGGGCACGATGTGGCCGGGGGTGCGCCCGTGGCGCGTGTTCATGTGCGCCATGGGGTAAGCATTAGAATCGCGACCGGCGCCGAGCAGAGGGCACGTGCTTTAGGCTCAGTTGTTCGCTTAAAAAACTGAGTGAAAAGCATCAGAGCCGGGAGGTCGTTGACCTTTGACAACGAAGGCCGACACAAGGCACCGCTCGCCAAGAGGATTCGCCATAAATACAATTAATTTGTTTCTGCAATATCTCAGCCGTTTCTGGGCCGATTTAGCTGAAACTTGGACTGTCGGTGGTAGTGTAGGGTAGGGTAGGGTAGGGTAGGGTAGGGTAGGGTAGGGTAGGGTAGGGGTAGGGGTAGGGGTAGGGGTAGGGTAGGGTATGGTAGGGTAGGGTAGGGTAGGGGATTGTAGGGTAGGGTAGGGTAGGGGTAGGGGTAGGGGTAGGGGTAGGGTAGGGTATGGTAGGGTAGGGTAGGGTAGGGGATTGTAGGGTAGGGTAGGGTAGGGTAGGGTAGGGTAGGGTAGGGGATTGTAGGGTAGGGTAGGCGATTGTAGGGTAGGGTAGGGTAGGGTAGGGTAGGGTAGGGTAGGGTAGGGTATGGTAGGGTAGGGTAGGGTAGGGTATGGTAGTGTAAGGGTAGGGTAGGGTAGGGTAGGGTAGGGTAGGGGATTGTAGGGTAGGGTAGGGTAGAGTAGGGTAGGGTAGGGTAGGGTAGGGGATTGTAGGGTAGGGTAGGGTAGGGTATAGGGTAGGGTAGGGGATTGTAGGGTAGGGTAGGGTAGGGTAGGGTAGGGTAGGGTAGGGTAGGGGATTGTAGGGTAGGGTAGGGTAGGGTAGGGTAGGGTAGGGTAGGGGATTGTAGGGTAGGGTAGGGTAGGGTAGGGTAGGGTAGAGTAGGGTAGGGTAGGGTAGGGGTAGGGTAGGGTAGGGTAGTGTAGGGGTAGGGTAGGGTAGGGTAGTGTAGGGGTAAGGTAGGGTAGGGTAGGGGTAGGGTAGGGTAGGGTAGGGTATGGTAGTGTAGGAGTAGGGTAGGGTAGGGTAGGGTATGGTAGGGTAGGGTAGGGTAGGGTAGGGTTGCATTGAGTAACATCCTAACTTA